GCACTAAGTCCCTCCCCCATCCACCTTTATTGTTTTCTTTACAATAAGGCTTTCAAATAAGTCATGGTTGTACGCCAGTGAAGCATCGGTGTTGAACACTGATGTCATGCTGTCGATGATGATGATGATGAAGTGTGAAGCATCTGAACTCGTCCTAAACATTTTGAGATGCATGACCTATCCAGGGTCTTGTATTCATTTTAAAAAGCTGGACATACATCGAGAAACAGGCAAAGTTAAATTTCAGCAAGAGATATCTGTCGCCCAATCTGACAGCTAGCACAGACATTGATGACTGCAAAGTGGATCTGATCTTTTGAATTTGGTCGGGGATTGTTTTAGTTCAGTTTACTCAGCAGTAGTTTGGAGATGGAACAATGGTTAGGGGATTGGCGGATGGATTGACCAGGGTATGTCACTGGGTGGGTGGACAGGGGTTATGGTTGAAGGCTTAAGAAAGGGGTTTGTTTGAGGTGCCTACATTAAGCCTTTGACTTAACGTTCTGCTCCATAAAACAATAGGGGAGTATTTTTGTTTTGACACACTTACGGTAGCTTCCAACTCAAGTTTTTCATGACAGCCCCTTTTCGAAGCTAAGGATTTAATAGTCTGACCCGCTTGACTGCAGGGACTAGCCCAGTCCGATGTCACACTCCTAGTGCTACTCGCAAAATAGACGTGTTTAGAGCCGCATTGGTTTTTTGATGGGTTTTAAATGTATTCCGACTGCATTGGGAAATTCTCCGGCGGTCACCATCAACAACGCGGCGATCGGAGTGTGCGATATTTTGGAACGGCCTTTTCTAACCGGAGGAGACGGTGTCATTGCTTCCATAGTTATGGAAGTGTTGGTCACCCGGAAGAAATGCTTACCTGGTTTTACACTCTCATCGCAAGGGACAGAAAGACTATCGCCGGACTGCGATGTATTGCGGTTATTCTTTGTACGTGACCCGCTGCTGTTCATCTGTCTGCTCCCTTTCAATCTTTTTAACGTGACTGATCTTATAGAACGGAGTTCCGGCCGGTACGGTCCGATGGGTCATTTTGGCACTCGAGCCCGGTCACCACGTCAAGGTGGCAAATTCTGGTAGGCGACCTAGTTGATGTCATAACGGGAGGGTCAGTATGATATGCATGTACTCTTTAGCGTATTATGGGACTGTTTTTAGGCTGAGATAATGCAGTGCCTGGACAGGAGACGATCGTGTTCAGTAACCGTGGTTTTTTCTCGAGCGCCTACTGCACAAATGTGTGGACGGTGGTATACTCAACACTAAGCTGTGTCGTTTGACACTCGGCAAGTCATCCACTGGACACTCAGTTGACCATGACAATTGCTTTCACTTCGCCCTATTTGGGGCTTTACCTTGAATATGTGAAGGAAACCGTTCTCATTTTGAAGAGGGTAGGTGTAGCGTTTCTTGGAAAACTGACCAGAATCATCCGATCCTTCGATATGTGCTTTGCACCTACAAAGTAAAAATTCACTCTATGGGACGTGCAGTCTTTGAACAAGCCTCCGAGAATTCCAAGGAAGACTCTGGATACTGTGAAACGCTACATGTATACTTGAAATATCTGACGGTGGTGTGACAGACTGAGTTATCGTGTGCATCTCAAGGGCCATAATTGCACCTACCACGGTTCTACCTAGAACATCGTTGCGTCCAGAAGGACCATTGTATCAGACTTTGGTGTGACCTGTGTTGAAGTGCAAACGTGGGACTTGGTCACTGCGGATAGAGAACCTGAGGCCTTTTCATGTCTTTGATCACCGAAACCATCTTCGGTTGTGTCAGGAAGGTCAGATTCCTGAAATCAACTTCTGAACGCCCGGAACCTACTGCTCTAACAAAAGCTCGACTGGAAAGCCGGCAAACATCCAGGCCAGTCAATCATTCGATCACTTCAGTAAAACCTGATGAGTGTTCTCTGCGCCACAGAAGCACAACCGCATGTGATCAGCATTCAGGCTTTTCACAGAGGCACGATCGATGTTAATGGGTGATCACTAACGCCTATCAGACAGCCTGGATCAATGTCAGAAAGTCCCCTTTAAATAGCATGGGGCCGTTGTAACTTTTGCACTCGCTCTCTCACTCACTCGCTTGTTCGGAATATAGCTGTTGTGTTCCCCTCTGTGAGTCTTTTCTCTCCGACGCTAGGCACTGGAGCGGGTCAGCAGCAGATACCTCAGATTGACGAACGGCAGATATAACAGGTTGCATCTGATTTATCCAAGTTTGGTGAAGGAAATCAGCTGAATTCTGCTGGCGTCTGCGAAGCAGGATCACCATAATCATCTTGGATTTTTCACTCCTCAGAGCTCCTTTGATCTATGTACTACAGGTCCGCAAGTTTTCATTTTCCTCTATAAATGAAAATTGAGTCAGGTTCTCTAGCCAGCCAAGGTGCCTGTTTCGTCTTAACGTTTGCATTGAGGACTCAGCGATCAGCCGCCGCGTAATGAATTTCGGCTGATCCTGCTCCCATTGGGAACCTGTAACGAACCTCTCTTACCATTACTTCCTGATTAGCATCCTTGCCGCACAGAAATGCTATACATGCGGTATTCTCATGGCTACTTGAAGCGAAGTTTGCATTTTTCTGTTTGGTCGATACCTGTTCTCAGTGCGAGATTTACTGGCGTATACAGGCGTATACCGTCTGTGATTCCATGGGGCTTTGCGACGCGTTCGTCTCTTTTGATGAAATCGTTTTCCACTAGTTCCTCACTGCTTAGGATTCCATCGGGTAAGCATAAAACATGTTGCCAGTATCTGTATTGTCATTATTTACACGGTATTTATGGCGTAGTTTATGGTATACCAATACCAGTGACTGGAGCCTCACAGCCAGTAGTGTTTTCTGCCTAAGTCAACCATCAGCTCGGACTTCACTGTGTCTTTTCCCTCTGTCAATTTTCGAACATTCCCTTTGTGGTTTTCGACCTTCTCTACTACAGTCTCCTGACGTGATTGTATGACCCAACGATTAGGGCACAAATTTCACCATTCAAAGCTTTTCTGCTGTGCCTATCTGACCATAGAGTATCTCAGCCCTCGTGATTCTTTCGAACTGCATGTCAACGATGCGCCACAATAGAACGACTATTATTTTATCGATACCGTATTTACACTTAACCGTCCACTACCAATTCATAATCTGCGTAACGCTCGTTCGGATTTTGTTCATTGTGTTACTGCAGTCGGTCATTCCCTTGTTATCAACACGGCTAGGTTCCTAAGAGTGAACTCAGTGTCCGTGAATCAAGCAGAGCTGCCAAACCAGCTAAAATTGCTGTTAAGTCTCCCAAAAAAGCCACCTGTCGATCGAACACTCAAACAACCAATCAGCGATGACCGACGATGCTTAAGTGTTAGAACTTGTCCTAGAAACCCGGTGGCAATTGGACAGCCGGGAATGAAGGCCAAACATGGGCTTTAAAATCAGTGACATCTCTTGTTATTTTACGCTCGTTTTATTCCTGGTAAGCGAGTCTCTTTCTATCCCTGAGACTGTGGGTCTTGATTGCAATTAGTTAAAACAATTTTAACTCAGTTCATGTGTTTCCTTTTTGCTTGCAGTTGCCATGGATTTTTATGTGACAGTCCCTCCACCAGTGCACTATCTGGATTCCACTCAAGCCTTTCAAGTACTTAACAGGGAGGAGAAACGGTATATCTTCTCGTGTGCTCAAGCCTCATGGATCGGTGGGCTCATTGATCTGATACAAACCTCTCCTGAGGCAGCCGGGATTTTCTTGCTGATGCTTAGGGTTTTCGGATCTCAGGGTCCCGATGCAATGGCCGAAGAGGCGAAGAAATCTGGATTCTCCGAGACGGAAGTCGAAGCTGCTCTTTCTTACTTTGCTTGCGTTTTTGGAAATTTGGGAAACTATCACAGTTTCGGGGACACAAAATTTATCCCTTCGATTTCCGCAAATAGACTTACTCAGTTCCTTTCTATGAATACCTACTTCAGTGACCAAAAGACTGGAATCCGTGATTTATGGGACGAATTACTTCCTGCCATCTACTCGCTGTCTCCCCGAAGGTTGCGTCTTGGATTCGGTCCAAATGACGGTCTATCTACTTACTACTCTGGTAATTGTTCTCGTGAGGACGCGGAGATTGTGCAAAAGTTCTTGAAAACTGCAAAAATCGAGGCATATAATACCCGTTTGTTTAAAGAACCGGTTGAGAAACATGAGAAACTGTTGTTTACGCTGCGGTTTGCGTGCGCGGACAAGCGACTGATGGATGCCGAACACTTTGATGGCATTCCCTCGAACTGGCATTTGCAATTGCAGTATGGTGACATGCACGAATTGATGTCGTTACTTGTGGCCTCTTGTCGTGATGCCAGTACGCACGCTTTGAATGAAGATGAGGCACGCATGTGGGGTCTGTACGCAGACAGTTTTCAAACAGGAAGCATAGACACACACAAGGCAGCCTCCAAAGTTTGGGTTTCCGACAAAAACCCTGCAGTCGAGACCTATATTGGTTTCATCGAAAGCTATCGAGATCCACTGGGTGTGCGTGGAGAATTCGAAGGCTTTGTCGCTGTGGTCAACAAGGTGGTGTCTGCGAAATTCCAACAGTTAGTTGACGGTGCTGTTGAGATTCTCGCTCAGTTACCATGGCCCCGTTCATATGAGCGTGACAAGTTTTCCAAACCAGATTTCACCAGTTTAGATGTTGTGATGTATGCTTGCTCGGGTATACCGCTTGGTATCAATATCCCAAACTATGATGATGTTCGTGAGGAGCATGGCTTCAAGAATGTTGCACTGGGAAATGTCATTTCAGCTCGTTTCAAGGTAAGTGGCAGTTCAGTCACTTTTCCTCTTACATTATCCGCAGGATCCAAAAGTTGATTTCTTGTCGGAAGCTGACCGAGCCTTGTACCTTGCAAACATTGAAACTGCGTATGAAATCCAGGTTGGTTTACATGAGTTGTTGGGTCATGGCTCTGGAAAATTGTTTCGCCGAAATAACGACGGAACATTCAACTTCAACCGAGAAACAACCAAGGACCTTGTAACGGGTGGCCTAGTCGAGCATTGGTAAGCATAAACAGACCACAGAATTGAACTTTGTGCTCTCCAAAACCACGAGACCTCGTTCCCAGACAAAGTGCTGTTTTTCTTTTTGGCACACGGGTACTTACATAGCCCTCTTAATCAAGAGTGCTCATGCGCTTGAGCACGAAAAAACGATCCACAGTCCGGCACTATTTCCTCACTACGAGTGTTGAGGTTACACGGAATAATGCGCATTAATTTTGCCGTCATTGGGTCCAAAAACTGATATTCTACGGAATCCGTTTCCCAGCTAGAAATTCATCCTCTTGGTGAGCAAAGCCTCCCTCAGTTTAATTTATCATTCCTAAGTAAACGGTATGATATGGCGATGAGATTTATATTGAAGCACATAATTCAAGATTATTTGGGGCCGCTTCCTACACCCGATTTCTTGACTGTGTTTCGCTCTTTGGCAATTAGATAGTATGTTGGTCATCATCGTTTGATTGTTTGATAGCACTGAAAAAACGGGTAGTAATTAGACGAATGGAGCTTTAGAATTAGGTCTAGGCGTTACAGATCGCCATCACCGACAGTATGAAATCAGTGTTCAACAATGATGTGTGGCTACCGTAGCTGATGGCACCAGGCGACGGTCGATGTTCCATGAATTTATGTGTATGTATGCAGTTGATGGATGTACGTTGCTGGGATACCCCCGGGGAATCCACATCTAGACAGGAGGGCGGTCAGGGTTCTCAACCAAAGCCTTTGGCTCAAAAGCCTAACCGCAAGGCAGTGGTGTTGTGCTGGAAGTACAAGTGCATTTCAAATTTTACAGAACAAGTCACCACACATGCTGGAACTCCCAATCTGGAGGATCAGGCGACTGTTCGTTAGGCCTCTAACCGTTGACAAACCTTGAATGAGAGACTGTAAGTGTCACACGGACACTACCCAGTGTAGCCCAATGGGTCGTGGAGGTACACTAACCGTTATACCAGTCCAGTCTCTTTGTGACGTCATTACCGATGCAGTGATAAAAACATTAGAATAATCTTTTAGGTATAAGGAGGGTATATGAAGGAATTTTTATATGTTACGCTTGACATTTTCTGATTGTACCGTTGTCAATGCTAGTATTTTTCCTTTGTCGTCCTGTTATTCCGCATTCCGGTTTTCTCAACTGATCCAATCGTCATGGATGCTTAGCAGTATTTCTCGAACTCTTTCTTTCCCACAAAATTCACCCGGAGAGAAACGTTTTCTTGCCAGTAAGCTCAATAAAGTCAATATTTCGCGAACCTATGATGCTTTGTATGAAGCTCACCAAGGAACACTGTCACTTTTTCAGGTACGAACCTGGGGAAACATGGGACAGCAAGTTTTCCAGTCTGTCCTCGCCTATTGAAGAGTGTCGTGCCGAGTGTGTTGGGGTCTATCTGTGTGATTTGCACAATGTTCTCAGGCTGTTCGGGGTCGACGTTCATGGTGGACAATCAGATCAGTCTGTGCACGATGTGGTCTATGTCAATTGGCTCTCCATGGTTCGTTCCGGTGTTATGAGTATGGAGTTTTACAGTCCGGCAGAGAACGGTGGTGATGCTGGTGCGTGGCGTCAGGCACACTCATGTGCGCGATATGCCATTTTACGAGTATGTAACATTTAAATTCATTTCATTTGTTCAGTTTTCAGTTACCTGGTTGTATTAAGTGATTGATCCTTTGTAGCACTGCCGGTCGTTTTGGAACACATTTGTGGACTCTGACGACGCGCTCGTCCGGAGTCGCTTCTCCCTACGTTTCCCGGGGCTGCGTAAGGTGCGGGAAAAGGAGTCTGTCCCAGACAACTGGGGAGAATCGGTGACAGTGCCCGTTTTCAAAAAAGGGGCGCGTAGTGAGTGTGGTAACCACAGGAGGATCAGCTTGACCCCGGTCGTAACCAGACAGTTGGCGTCAATTGTGCTTCGTCGCCTTACGGTGGCTCGTGAGATACTGACTCGAGAGCAGCAAGCGGGATTCCGGCCTGGTAGGGGTTGTGTTGACCAAATCTTCACACTGCGTCAGGTGCTAGAACAACGCCATACGTATAAGCGACCCACGATTCTAGTATTCCTGGATTTCCGAGGCGCATTCGACTCGGTTGATCGGTCTGTTCTTCTTGAAACGCTTGCCCACCAAGGAATGC